ACAAATACCAAAATGAGTGGCTAACTGCGCTAAAACGTTCAAATACATACAAAATTATGTCAAAATGCCCGTCTTGGCGAATAGCAGTCAGTTTTGGAACGTTAAATAGTTGAGAAAGAGAACGCATGTTGTGTAACCAGGGCCGCATTAACCACTGGGCTAGGCGGGGCTGAAGCCCCGGGGCCCGAGCCAGGAGGGGGCCCGTGATTGGCTGTGGAGTAGATTGACGGACATCGGTAGCGCTGATCGCCAAAGCACCACCACGCCACTCACTTTTTAGCGCTAATATTTAGTGGAGTTTTCCGTAAATTCCATGCATTACCATTAGAGATTAAAACGTCACATTTGAATTTGTTTTAACAACAATTGTTTTAATTGTTCGTTACTTTTGAACGAACTGTGCACGTAGCCTATCTATCAGGTGATCGCTGCGCCTAATGTCTGCATTCACCTCTCTTCACTTCATTCTGGATTATATATTTTTTTACATTGGAATTGGCAATCACCTCTCTTCACTTCATTCTGGATAAAAATCAGATTTTAAGCTATATCATTATTGTGACGGGGGGGCCCTGCAGTAAGTCATAGTCCCGGGGCCCAGTGAGGTCTTAACCCTGTGTGTAACATGGGCCTGTTTACACCTGGTCACTTCATGCGGTTTTTTCTGATCGGATAGCTATCCGATCGTGAAAAGACCAGGTGTAAATGCCCTTCCGAAACGCATTCGAGACGGATATAAATCCGATCGCTCAAACCACTTCAGGAGGTGGTCTGGGCCGTATTCCAGACAAAACTCGACAAGTGTAAATGTATCTGGTTGTTGAAACCACATATGTAAATTTTACTCCTCCCAAAATGATAAAATAATAAACGTGTGAGATAGGCTATATGACATTAGTCAGACTGCGCTAATGCAACAGGCATCGCTGCGGACGAGTAGCTGAGTATATCTTCAGCAAGCCGACGCGCAAACTGCCGCGAATGAAACTGAAAGTACGCAGACGGTCAACACCCAATCATCTTCATTAAAAGTAGTAAGACAAACTTATCTTTCCAGTGCTGATGCCGCGCGCTCTCCTATTGCGGTCTTTGATCTTGGAATTAGCTGATAATTAATAAAATGCAGCGCTTATCTTTTGATTTCGTTGACGTGAACTCTGTTCCTACTGAATGTTAATCAAAGAACAAAAGACAAAGAAAATCACTTTCTGCTCTTGACTGAATACATTTTATAACTTTATAACTTTAAATTAATCTGTATTTAATTTTTACAATGAAGATGACAGAAATTAAAGTAATCAAATGTAAAATAACACTGGATGTGTGTTATTTTACATTTGATTACTTTAAGTTCTGTAATATTTCTTACCTGAATAAAAACTTAACCAGAAAAACTTAGTTTCATAGCTCTCTATTCTACTGCATTTATTTGTGCTGTTGTTTGCCTTTTTTTTAATTTGTTCTTATTTTATTACTGACTTTTTACTTGTGTTTTTTTATGAAAATAAAACTTTGCGTTGAAGAAAAGTAGATTTTTGTTTGTATATGCTGTCAATTATAGTTCTTAGAAAGAAAATCGGAATCGGCAAAAATCGGTATCGGCAGATCACACTAAC